GCACCTCGACTATCTCCGGGTTAAAACCGTAACCCAACGAAGACCGCTAAGCATGAGGTCTATACAATGTGCTGCACGATGGTGTCATGCGCAACAAATTAGCCGCAATAAAATTAGGAGCAGCGTTGTCTGTGACAACCTGTACAACATGATACTCCCCAACCTCCTTGATTCCCTTCTCTAAAACTTGGAATATGTAATGGGCATCATGGATATGCCAGAGGTATCAATAGACCTAAAAAAGACAGTCCCTAAAGAACGATTCACAAGCAAATGCATCGGACTTCTTCTCTTCTTATCTCTCCAAGCATCAATCATAATAAAAACCCCATACTGAGCCCATACATCTTTCTTAACTTCTACAGCTTCCTTCGTGACACTCACCACCTTTTTCAAAAGAGGCTCTGAAAGCTCATATGGGGTCGAGGGTTTCATCCCAGGCCCAAATTGGCCAATTGCCTCTAACGCGACATAGAAGCTGCTTACATGAGCGATATTGAAAGGAATGCTCGCCTCATAAAACCATGTAGCAAGATAATAAGCAGCTACATCTCTCTCTTCCTTCTTCATTCTATTTTCAAGGGTAGTTTACTTCTTTGTTTTCTCTCTTGCAACCTCAGGGTCAGGCCGAGGCAAAAAACTATCCATAGGGCCTCTAACCCGAGGCTTCTTACTCCCAGAACCAAAACCAGAACCAGAAGCAATTACAACTCCCTTTCCCTTCCCTTTCCCTTAATAATGGATTGTTCTACTTCTACCTCTTGACATCTCTCCCTAGTCCCATCCTCATCACTATCATCATCATCATAATTGACCCGAACCTCAGACCTAATCTCTGCCATGGAGGTAAATCTCTTATCTTTTTTCATTTTTACCATATTCAAAAAATTGGTTATTTTCTCTTTAACAGCATCAATAGTCTTTTTACATGGGCCAACATCCCCCCTGATACCGACAAGATGTTTCTTGAACCGGTTTATGCTCCCTTTTGTATCCTTCTCACAAAAATTGCATCTTATACAAGTTTTATTATTAGGATCTAGATTGTAGCCATATTTCCAACCGGGATCACGACTCCTAAGAAGACATCTCAAAATAATGCAATTTAGACAAGCAATAAAAAAAAATACTTACTTTGAGTTTGATTGCTCAATCTCCAAACTTCCACCTCAAAGATGCTTCTAAGGACTCAAAATCTTTTAAAAAATCCCCCAATAGATTTATAAAACATCAAAAATTAAATCTAATATCAATGGGTGATGTTTGAACAATATATCATAACTTTGAGAAACCTTTCGATCTTAAAGAAATCACAAAAAAGTAGTTTTTTGGAGGCTCTCTCTCTCTAAAATGGGCTCCAATAAGTTTTACGTTTCAAATGGACCTAAAACCCCCATTTTTGGCCCTTTAGTATAAAAAAAATGGACAAAAAATGCCCCCCACCAAAAGCAATTTCTGCCTCTGGGTGGGGCATTGGACCTAAGCAGTTGCTTAGGTGGTTTCCTGGGCACCCAAGAACCACTGCTTTTTTAGCGCGCCTAGGCCTGGGCGATGCGGCCAGGCTCCCAGATGCACCTCGGTGGCCGCCCAAGTGCTGGGCGGTCCACTTTTTGAAACACTAAAACATGCACACCGTGTATATGAGTTAGTTTTATAAATAATGTTGATGGGATGTGATCAACACTCAGCCTTGTAGAGTTATTCTATGGAAATCAAATATGTAAAAGGGGTCCCATTTTATAACATGTATATATTAGAATTGTCTAAAATTGAGGGAAAAATCTATGGCATATACATTAACATTTCGTGCTTCCTGTATCTAATTAGGATCTACTTGTAGGACTAAATGAAACTCAACTTCGTAGTCTATAGTTTAGGACATCTTTTGCCATAGAATTAATTGTCTTTTTTCGTTTTAGGCCTTATTAGTTACGTTAATGCCTTTGAATTGGATTCATGTCTGTCTTATGGTGCATGATCTATTTTATGATGTTTTTCCTGATCAATGCTGATACTCTCAGGCAGTCTTATTGTTGCAAGTTTGAAACAAATTGTAAAAACTGAAGGTGTGAGGGGATTGTATCGTGGTCTTTCACCAACTGTGCTGGCTTTACTTCCAAATTGGGCTGTAAGTTTCATGGACCAAAATTTTGAGTTATCTTTGAGTAAATTATTAAAAATTTGAATCCTTCATAGAAAGAAAATTTCAGTTAATTGGCAGTAATTAGAGATAGGTTCTGTAGCTAGCTTCCAAGAGGATAATTGATCTTCTATTTTGTAGTAAATCAATATATGGATTCTATTAATTGCTCAAATCATATCAAATATTTTTTCTATTGTGGTGATACTGTAAAAGTTATAGTTGAATTAGTACTAAGGGTGCTTTGTTCATGTCAGATATTTCAAACACGATCTCTATCTGTTTTTGTCCAATGATTTAAGTTGCTTAGATTTAGTGCTACTCATCTTGATTTCGGTAACTCTTTTATAATTCTTCCGTAAGCATATTTGTTGTTTTAGAATCTTTATGAATCTAAACACTTCAATTTGGCTGTGGGATTTACTTCTCATTGAATCATCATCATTATCATCAGAGCTTTTTCCCAATTAATTGGGTCGTCTACATGATTCCATATGCATCATTCTGCTCTCTATTAAAGGCCCTACCCTCAGTGAGGTTATAAGTCCCCATATCTCTTCAGATTGCTTCCAACCATGCCCTTTTGACCCCTTTCCCCTTGCCATTTTCAGTCCGTCTACTTGAACTAACTTGCACCTCCTAACAGGTGCGGTACTTGGTCAGTGTCACTCATAGCCAACTCACCAAAGTCTACTCTTTTTCATCTTATCTCCTCTTCGTGCCACACCTAAATTCTCTTGAATGGATTCATTTCAAATTCTATCCCTTCTTGCTTGCTACTCATCCATCTCAATATCCTCATCTTCGCTACACTCATTCTATGGGTATATTGTTTTTTGTCCGCCCAATATTCCGTCCCATAGAGCAAAGCTGGTTTCACAGCTGTCGTATAGAACATGCTCTTCAGCTTCATTGATATGCGGCGATCGCATAAAATTCTAATTGCATATCTCCACTTCACTCACCCAACTTTAATTATATGTGTGGCATCGTCTTTAATCTCTCCATTTTTCTGGATTATCGACCTAGATATTGAATGTGTGGTCTTTTTTGTACTTCCTAGCCGTTAATCTTAACTACTTCCTCGTCTCTACTCCTATTATTACTAAACATGCATTTCATATACTATGTCTTAGTCTGGCTAATTTTAAAGCTTTTGGATTCTAAAGTATCCCACCAAAGTTCGAACTTGGTGTTGACACCATTTTGGGTTTCATCAATCAAAACTATGTCATCTACGAACAACATGCACCACGGTACCTCATCCTGTAGGTGCCTAGTTAAGTCATCTATAACTAAGACAAAGAGGTACAGGCTCAATGCTTACTCTTGATGTAGACCTATTGTCACTGAAAACTCATTCGTCTTTCCACTAGTTGTTCGTACACTAGTTAGCGATCCATCGTACATATTTCTCACCAAGTCGATGTAGTATTTGGAGACTCCTTTCTTTTTCAACACCCACCAAATCAAATATTGAGGTACTCTATCATAAGCTTTCTCTAGATAAATAAAAACCATGTGAAGGTTTTTTCTCTTTGCCCTAAATGTCTTAATTAGTTGCATAACTAGGAAATAGCCTCAGTTGTTGACCTTCTTGACATAAAACCAAATTGGTTTTCAGATACAATTATTTCATGCCTTAGTCGTTGCTTAATCATTCTCTCCTAGGGCTTCATAATATGATTCGTAAGCTTGATTCCTTGACAGTTTGCACAATTTTGTCTGTCTCATTTGTTCTTGTAAATAGATACCACAATACTTTTCTTTCTTTTGTCTGGCATTTTCTTTGGTCTCAACATCTTATTGAACAACTTCATTCACCAGTCAATGCCAATCTCCCCCATACACTTCCGAACCTATATCGGGATACCATCTGGTCTTAAAGACTTTCCTATGTTTATCTTTTTTAAAGCTTCTTTCACTTCGGCATCCTAATTCTACGAATGTATCTATGACCTTCGCCCTCAAGTTATCATATCTGTTGAGAAGAAAATTTGTGGACCTACAATTGCAAATTGTTCATTTCACTGATGGATCTAATACCTAGTTAGGGGCATTTGATGAACCCCAAAACTCCTAAATCATCTCTCTCACTCCAAGATCAATTAAAGAAAACAGAAGATTTTGGAGGTGTATGAATGCTTCAAATCATAATTTGATTGAATCTAGGCCATTCATTTTGATGGACATCATATATTAGGAATTCCAACTTGAACGTCTTTTTTTTTTTTAATTCTTTTCTCTTGAAATTGATCACGAGGTAGCAGAAAGGTACCTGGCACACATTGGCTGGAAGGGCATTTGAGGTGATGCAATGTCCCTCTGCTTTGGTAGAATTTGTATGGTGTTTTACCCGTGATAGATCAGCTGCAAATTGTGCTCTTAATGCCTTTATGTGTTTGTTCAACTGTTTATTATAATAATATCCTCTATGGTAGTGGATGCTGAAATCATATTGTGCAGGTGTACTTCACCATATATGAACAAGTTAAAGGCTTGCTTCAATCACATGGTGAGTTCTCCATGCACTTATTTTCTGAGGCTATATGTTTTGTTATCTTGTAAGGTGTGTTGCCTTCTTGATTCAGCTGATTATAGTGAGATGCTTTATTTATACTATGTTTTTATAAATTATTATTTCTAACTTATGATGTCTATGGATTGTGGTGTCAATGATAGACAGAGGCAATAATCAACTTTCAATAGGTAAGCACATGCTAGCTGCATCGTGTGCTGGAGCTGCAACAGCCCTTACAACTAATCCACTTTGGGTCGTTAAGACTAGGCTTCAAGTATGTTGTATTGTTAGTCATTCAGTCCCTGTTTAGTTAGGCATCTCAATGATGCCTTTTGCTTTTTATTCTTGCCAGTTGCCACCATCAGTCTTTATCCCTTTGCTGGAAAATTTATTTTCAAGTATTTGTTCCTTGAGTTATCTTGTTCATGGACGTATAGTATTATAAGAGAAGCAAAATGAATTTCTTACATAGTTCAAACATATTACGTGTTTGTCGTTTGATTATGATACTCTTTTGGTGACCAGTCAATTTTAATTATTGTATCATTAAACCTGCATTATCAAATGCTGTGGCAACCTTGCTGACAAGGAAATTAGAGGCAGCGGAGCAGATGTGACTGGTTTTTAACAAGTCACTGCAGAATGATCCAAGTATACAATGTACACTAGACATGAACAAGGTTGCTTGTGAATGTTGTGTATACAGTTAGGGAATGAGAACCTTACTGCCATGGTTATTAGAAGTAAGCATACATCAACAGTTTTAACAGAAGTTGATATTGAAGCTGAGCCTGTGTACTTTGAAGTGTTTGAAGGTTTATAGGATTGAACCCTTCTATCATGCCATAATGTGAGTCAACGGGAGCACTTCCTGAACTCCTTAGATCTCCTTCTATGTTTAATGGTACTAAGTTACTATGCATGTTCAGTAGGCATGTTTAATGGTACTATGTTTAACGGAAAAATTGCTCTTTGGACTTTGGGAATGTACTACTTTCTTTCTGCTTGCCTAAATGAAGAAGTGGGATCCAAATTTCAAACTCAGCTGTTTGGTTTGTATCCAAATGTATACCCATACTAGTGCCCTCATGGGTGCTTAACATTAAAAAGAAAAAACAAAAAAAAAACAACTAAAATGATGGTCTCCTCACTGGTATTCCACACTTAGTCCAAGGTAAATTGAATATGTCATGTTCTTACTAACTTTTCTCTGTGTAGCACTGACAAAATGAGTAGGGGGATAGGCTTGCCACTCATTTTTCTCGGGTGGAAATAAAAAAACCTGGGTGGCATAACTGGCCTCGTAAAAATCTACTCTACATTAACTAATTTCTGGAGGCTGAAAGTGTAATAGTGCCGGACACATGTCTGGCGTGATCATGACAAGCGAAATGAAATGTAAGGTTAACACTGGTTGTCTAAATGCTGAGAGTTTCTTGGTGCATATTTTGTAATAAAATAGAACTACCTCCCTTGGACTTTGTAACTTTTTCAATTCTAACAACTCTTTCCTGATTAGCTTCGCTTCTTGCATTATGCTTAACTCATGCATATGGCCGAAAAATTAATTTCTTCTAAATAGTAGTAATTGTTTCTTCATTTGCAGACGCAAGGGATGAGGTCAGGAGTGGTACCTTATGGAAGCATACTTTCATCTCTAAGAAGGATTGCTCATGAAGAGGGGATCCGAGGACTATACAGGTCAATCAATTCATTCAAATAAGAGAATTTACTTTAATATAGTTTCCTCATTTCTTTGATCTTTCCCCTTTTCAAGATGTTATCTCCTTTTATTTGATATTTTCTCTTTTGATTCTTTGAAAACATAGTAAAAGGAAATCTTAATTCAGACTTTTTTTTTTCATGTGTTTGGTCTTTTCTGACAAGGTGTTGAGCCGAATTGCTGATTAATCTTCATGAAACAGTGGCCTTTTGCCAGCCTTAGCAGGGGTCAGCCATGTTGCTATCCAGTTTCCTGTATATGAGAAATTGAAGGCTTATTTGGCTGCCAGAGGTAATATACTGTGCTTCTAACCTTTACCATCAGTCCTTGTGAAGCTCTTAATTGGTCTTTCCCTTTGCGAGTTTTACTGAACTAATTAAAGGGTGCAGAAAACACTACCCCAGATAAACTTAGTGCTGGAAATGTTGCCATTGCTTCATCAGTATCTAAGGTTCTCGCCTCAACAATGACTTACCCCCATGAGGTATTTTATTCGTCAATGAATATTTTTGTATTTTTTGGGCGGGGGGATTTTAGAAAGTTTGCAAAAAGCTTCTACCTTGGTTTGGGACTGGTTTTTCCCCAAATATATATCATCATCATCATCATCATCATTTTAGCCTTGTCCCAATTAATTGGGGTCGGCTACACGAATCCTGGTTCTTCATTCTGCTCTATTAAATGCCATATCCTTAGTGAAGCCATAAGTCCCCATATCTTTTCAGACTACTTCCAAACACGTCCTTTTGGGCCTATCCCTTGCCTTTTTCAGTCCTTCCACTTGAATTAATTTGTACCTCCTAACAGGTGCTGTACTTGGTCGGTGCCACACATGGCCAGCCTACCTAAGTCTACTCTCTTTCATTTTATTGTCTATTGGTGCCATGCCTAAATTATCTCGAATAGATTCATTTTGAAGCATTCCACCTCATAAAATAAAGCTGGTCTCACAGCTATCCTATACGACTTACCCTCAGCTTCATTTGTATGCAGCGATCACATAAATTCTTGTTGCAGAACTTCACCTATCCAGCTCTAATTCTGTGTGTGACATCGTCCTCGATCTCTCCATTTTCTTGAATTATCGATCCAAGATATCAAAAGTGCGATCTTT